CCTCCTCGTCAGGAGGCCCAAGACGCGCTCCAGGAGGCCCAAAACGCTCGCCAGGAAGCCCAAGACGCTCTCCAGGAGGCCCCAGAGGCTCCCCAGGAGGCCTCAGAGGCGCTCCAGGAGGCGCCAGAGGCGTTCCAGGAAGCCCAAAACGCTTTCCAGGAGGCCCCAGAGTCGCTCCAGGAGGCCCAAGACGCGCTCCAGGAGGCCACAGAGGCGCTCCAGAAGGCCCAAGACGCGCTCAAGGAGGCCCAAGACGCTCTCCATGAAGCCCGAGACACTCGCCAGGAGGTCCCACAGGCTCCCCAGGAGGCCCTAGAGGCGCTCCAGGAGGCGGTAGAGGCCCTCCAGGAAGCCCAAAACGCTCTCGAGGTTCTCCTGTGTTGCTCTGTTGCTGTTGCTGGGGGGGGGGGGTCGGCCGGGCGCCAGTGAGTGTTTTCGTCAACAACCAACAACAGCAACAACACCACCACCACCACCACCACCACCACCACCACCACCAACAACAACAACAACAACACCAACACCAACAACAACAACAACAACAACAACAACAAACAACAACCAACAACAACGAGAATCCGCACCGCGGAATTCCACTTCAGCCACGCACCCAGGGACAATGAATGACCGTTCGGCCCCCCTCACTCTGATATCTCTATAGATTGTCCGTCTCCTGTGTACACAATCCTCAATGTTTTACTCATGTTCCTGTGTATTGGGCCTCTCCTGGGGCACGAGTCCTTGGTGTTTTACGTGTGCTCATATATATTGCTCTTCTCCTGTGGCTCCAATCCGCAATGTTTTATGTACGTCTGTTGCTATATATTGGGCCTCTCCTGGGGCACGAATCCTCCCCAGGAGGTCCCAGGAGGCCTCAGGAGGCCCCAAGAGGCTCCTGGAGGCCCCAGGGAACCACATAGGTTTGAGGAGGCCTCGGGGGGCCCAAGACTCATGCGCAGAGACGCGCTCGTACTACTGAGGCTCATTCACACTCCAATTCATTCGCAATGAGAATCATGACCAGACCGTCACAACTCAAGCCCGTGTACATTCGAAAACGTTTGCGCCTAGACATTCACGGCGGACAGGTCCATGCGAATAGATGCACAGATGGGGAGCTCCACGAAGTGAATCATTGTTGTTGCTGCTGTTGGTGGTGGTAGTGTTGATGCTGTTCGTGGTGGTAGTTGCTTGTTCCCCATATCCAGAGGATGGGGTTCTCGTTATTCCCCAACCGCGCCAGACCACGAGAACCCCTCCCCTCCTCCCTCTCTGCACTAGACAATGATGATGAGTGCCATGATGATGACCAAGGTTTGGTGAGAGCATGGTGTGAGTATGACGGTGATGGTGAATGATGGATGAGTATGGGTACGAGTATGAGTATGAGTACGAGCATGAGTATGAGTATGATGATGATGAGGATGATGATGATGAGGCTGCTGCTGATGATGATGACGATGATGATGATGATGATGATGATGATGACGATGAGCAGATGATGAGCAGATGATGAGGACGTCTCGAGCGGCTTGCTGGTTGTAGCACTCCTCAGGGGGGGGCCGCCAGGGGTATTGCACGCGGCCTCCGTTGGCGCCCAAATGGTGGGGATGTCTCAAGCGGTTTGCCTGTTTTGGTGCTCCACATCCTCCGCTTTCGGAGCAGATTCTGAGGATGTCTCAGGCGAGGCGCTGGTTTTCGCACCCCAGGGGGGCCAGATTTCGAGGATGTCTCAAACGGTTTGCGTGTTTTGGTGGTCAGACTCGTCTGCTGTCAAAGCAGATTCTGAGGATGTCTATGGCGACGCGCCGATTTCTGCACTCCCAGAGGGCCCAGATTGCGAGGATGTCCTAGACTCACTTATGCTCAAATTCACAGATGCTCAGGCTAACTCATACTCAGAGTCGCACTCATCATACTCATACTCAGACTCACTCACATTCAGACTTACGCTCACTCAGACTCACTCACACTTCGACCCACCCACCCTCAGACTCATTCGTAGTCAGACTCACTCGTACTCAGACCCATTCAGGGCCAGTTTCATATCCATCATACTCATACTCAGACGCACTCACATTCAGATTTACTCACGCTCAGAATCACTCACACTCAGACCCACCCACCCTCAGATTCACTCGTAGTCAAAATCACTCGTACTCAGACCCATTCAGACTTAGACTCGTACTCACTATACTCATACTCAGACTCATTGGCTTTCGCACCCCAGGGGGGGCAGATTGCGAGGATGTCCCAGACTCACTTGTGCTCAGACTCGTACTCATCATATTCATACTGAGACTCACTCACATCCGGTCCATGCAAATAGATGCACGTATGGGGAGCTCCACACGGTGAATGATTGTTTGTTGTTTGTTGTTTGTCGTTTGTTGTCGTCGTCCCCCCGGCGACCCGGCCCGCGACCCACCCGCGACCAACCCCGCGACCCACCCGCGACCCACCCCGCGACCCACCCCGCGACCCACCCGCGACCCACCCGCGACCCAGCCCGCGACCCACCCGCGACCCACCCGCGACTCACCCACGACCCAGCCCGCGACCCACCAGCGACCCACCCGCGACCTGGCCCGCGACCCACCCGCGACTCAGCCCGCGACCCACCCGCGGCCCACCCCGCGACCTACCCACATTGCTTTAACGAAAAAATCGGCGCCTGCGGGCAGCCCGTTGTATATTTGTAAGAATGAATGCCCGCGGCGGGATTCTTTATTGCCTCGCCGGCTGCCGACGTCCCCGCCGCCCCCTCACTCTTATCCGCAACTGCGGGGTGCTACGTACCTCGTGCGGGGTGTGCGGCACTCAACAACACAGTAGGGCTGGAGGGCTGGAGGGAAAAGGAAGAGGGAGAGGAGGCGAAGAATGAGGACGAGGAGGAGGCAGAGGTGGAGGACCAGTGTAGACACAAGACCCATCAACGATGACGCAGTGAATTCTCCCTCCAAATTCCCTTCTCACCCCCCCTGCAGAATTTACTCTTGATGCGGGGAGTGCCCCGTTGGAAGACAACCGTCTCAGAATCCGCAATCGTGCCCAACCGCGCATCAACGTGATTGTCGCGTCCTGCCAGTCCTCAGCCGTGTCAAAACACCATTCCTGGAACTTCAACCAACACCGCGAATCAGCGTGGCTATTGCTCTCTGACGGCCCTGATTCGAGCCAGAACACCATTCGCAGGACTTCATCAATACGAGCCCTTGAACCTGTTGCAAATGTTTGAAACGAATGTGCGCGGCGCTGAGGCGGGAGCACTTTGACAAGGAACCGCCCTCCGTCTTTGAAGTTGTTGTACACTTTTAAGACGAATGTGCGCGGCGCTGAAACGAGAACCGCATTTGGAAAACGGGCCGCCCTCCCATCCTTGAAACCGTTGCTAACTTTTAAAACGAACGTGCGCGACAATAACGCGAGAGCCGCACTTGGAAGACGGGGCGCCCTACCATCCTTGAAGCTGGTGTGGTGCAAACTTGTAAGACAAATGTGCGCGGCCCTGAAGCGAGACCCGCATTTGGAAAACGGACCGCCCTTCCACCCTTGCAGCTGCTGCGAACTTTTAAGACGAATGTGCGCGGCGCTATGGCGAGAGCAACATTTTGAAAACGGACCACCCTCCATCAGTGGAACCGTTGCTCATGTCAAGCTTCAAAACCATACATGGTGAAGAATTTTGAGGCGGAACGCCCAGCCCACCCTACCGACACGTCTGGGGGTGCGACAAGGAGTCATGCATAGAGCAACGGAATGGATGAGGAGAAGGAGGAGAAGGGAGTGGAGGCGAGGAGGAGGAGGGTAGGCGGATGATGACAAGGTGGGCACGCGCAGCGTTCGGGATCGACAATGAGGAAGCCAACAACACAGAAGGGCCGGGGCCCGCATCCTCGATCACCGAAACTCGCCGTTCCCCCCCTCGGATTCGCCAGGAGCCGAATCTTGTCTTTCCCCCCCCTTGGATTCACCGAATCTCGCCCTTCCCCCTGGAGAGTCCTGCGCTGAAAGGAGATCGACGGGGACAAGTCGGGGATCTCTGAAATCCCGCGGGTTTGGAAGACGTGTCGGGCGCCGCGGCCGCTTCGGAGCGCTCTAGAATTAGGTCGGGCCGAAAATCCCCCTACAGGTAGATTTTGGACGAACAATAAAGAATAACGAAAAACATGTAAACATCATGCGCAAAAATACTGAACAAAATAGTCCCCATATTATCTTTTGACAATCTTTGAATAGTCCCCCTGTAGAGGGACAGGCCCGACTTAACTCTAGAACGCTCTGAGAGCGCTCTCCGAGACGCTCTGGACACTCATCTTCTGGTCCCAGCCTCGCCCGATGAGCCTTGACGGCGCGCAGGGGGGGGTAGGGAGAGGGGGGAATGGTTCCTAGAAGGAAGCTGCTCCTTAGAAGGCGCCGGCCTTACATGCATCGAGAAGCCCAGCGCCTCCTAAGAAGCGGGGGTTCTTCTAAGAAGCCTTCCCCCCTTCCCCTATACACCTCTGCGCGTGGCTGCTTAGCCCGCCCGATGAGCTCCTTTGGAACCTCCTTCGCCTCCTCCTGCCTTCAGACCCTCTGCAAAATCAGCGGGCACCGAATCGGGAAACCGGGTCGAATCGGGACGTGCGTCGGATCGGGCTACACCGCCACTGAGCCGAGATCGAAACGCATCGGCTGTGACAAGATGCGCAACAGCACCAGGCAAGCAACGGGCCCCGTCGGATCGATGGCACATCCCAAAGCCACCGCGGCCGGCGAAAGAACACTCGGCTCTCGGGCCATGGCTACGGTCTCCCGCGGCCGTTCGGAGCAATTCTGGCACCCTGGGACGCTGTCGGCGAGGCGCAGCTGCTGGAACGCGTCCTCAGGCAGGAACACCTGCAGGAACCAACAAACATAGATGACAATTTAGAATTCGATTGAGTTGGTTGGGATTGGTATCGAATCGGTGTCAGATCGGATGGACATTTGCACGTGCTCTGAGAAAACCCTCCGAGGGCCTGGTCGTGGACGACCGACAGCGCCACGAAGAAGCCTGCGCGCGCTCGCTGGCCCGGGCGGCGGGGGCTTCCGAGCCGATCGGGGGGGGAGGTAGCATCGCTGCCCCTTCTGTCCGATCCGCCCCTCCTCTCCGCGAATGCGCGCCACTCAGGAACAAGGAAAAGCGACGCCACCACCACCACCATCACCACCACCACCACCACCGCCACCACCACCTGTGACCCCTAGGGGGAGGAGCCAGGGGTGGTCCCCCTAGTGGTGTGGTCCCCACCTCTCGCTCGAGACACCCCCTCTCCCCAGCTCGGGGAGGCGTCGTGGACCTCCTCGCTGGACGTTTCCCCCCCAGTGGCGATGTCGCTTCTCCTTACCCCGTCCACTGGACACTCCTGTGCTTGCGTCGCAGGCCCGTCCAGCGAGCGTGCGCCGCCACCTTCAAATGGGATCCCGCCGAGTTGCGAGAGGTACTCGTTGGGAGAACATGACTGCTCAGCCGAGCCGGTGCTCGAGAACAGGTCGCCAGCGCCAGCGTCGCAGTGGGAAGCCCTGATGAAGAAGCCGTGCGTGACCCCTCCTCTCCACCGCTGAATGCTTCCTCGAGACATCCACGTGCGAACCCCGCTGCTACAGGACAGATTTCTGGAACGCCGGGTGAGGCTGAGAATTCGAACGATGTCTGCAGCCAGGTGAACCCGAGCGGGGGTGTGCGATTCCCCAGCGTCGATTGGACCCGCAGGGGTAAGGTTCGACATTGGTCGCAGGTTATCTTGTTCCCCCAGACGAACAAACAACAACATACACAGAAACTTTCTGAGGTCTGCGCGGACTTCTTGCACCGGCTCTGGACACCCCTGGCAGAGCGGAGTGGTATAATGCGAATGCCGTCTGGAAGGGTTCCTTGTTCTCCAAGGCTCCATCTCATGTCACCGTCCAGACGCGTGCAACCCTCCTCCCGAGGCGTCCCAGACGTCCTAACGCCGCCCAGACATTCTCCAACGCTTCGAGGCGGCCAAAGGACGCTACCAGCGCCGCCAAGATGGCCCACGATTGTTCAACTAAGGTCGCAGGAGCCCCCAGACCGCCCCCAGACGACCGCCAGTCCCTTCGCGACGAGTTGCAAGATACCTGAAAATGCCTCCCAAACTCCCTCGATTCGGCCCCAAGGAAGCCCCAGGTGGCCCAAAGAGATCGCCATGCCGGTGCAGGGACCCCTCGAGAAAGGCCCACAGGGGGCTGGAGGCCGCCCTCAAGGCGGCTCCAAGACGGCCCTAGGCCGGCCCTGGGCGACCACGACCACAAGACGGCCCCAAAACCACTCCGACAACTCCAGACGACCAGAAGACCTTCAAGCACAACCCGAAAACTGCCACTGGCTCCGAACCCGAACCGTAAAGCTCTGAAATCGAAATGCGGTACCCTCGACGAGGAACAGTGCGCCATTGCCGAGTCTGTATATGCACGAGCTTTCTTACATGGGTCCGTGGCCTCCGTCTGGCCTGCATACGAAGAAAGGAAATACCGGTTCGTACTCTACTCTTGTTCCTTTCCCCAAAAACTCAACAACCACTTATATACATATTTGTGCAACGCCACGTGGCAACTTATGGATCGAATCTCTGAATGATTGCGGCCCTTCTGAGACCTGAGGGAATCAACCGCCACATGAAGCGGCCTTATCTCAAATACGGGTGCGAGTTGTTACATGGTATGGCCCAGGGGGTCCAGAGAGAAGAAATCACTCATGTTGCGGCTCTCTGGGCCCTCAGGAAGACGGCTATTACGGGTTACCGTCGTCTCGAGCCTGCGGGAGATACTGCTCTCTGGAGCCTGAGGACACGATGTGCCCAATGTTACAGACTTGTGGGTGGCTAACGAAATGCCACCGAGCAAAATGCTGCGCTGTCGTGATGACGGAGCTGGGCGCAAACACCTGGCTATACGCCAATGGGGATGTGGTGTCTTCTACGCCGAGGGTCTGTCGGAATAGTAGCACGTTTCACGCTGTGCCCCAAACTGGTTCAGACGGCCATCGTCGGTATACGCCGTTGTCTCGGGCACTCCCGGCCAAAACAAATTCCAGGGTATTCAGCAGAAGGGCGTGTGCTGCACTGGTGTGATCGCGGCGACCATGTACGGTGAACACATCGCCAAATAACGTCATCAATCCGTGTTGGCGGGCAAAGATGCAGCCATAAATCCAAAGTGTAAACCCTGCTCTGTCGCAATGTCGTCATGCTGGCAATTGGGCAGAATGAGTGTGGGCAAATTCGCCGACCCTTCGGCGTGTGTGAGACGCCGTCGTCCTTTTCGTCGTCGTCGTCATCGTCGACGTCATCGCCAGTCCCAAGGAAATTGAGGAACAAGCAAAAAAGATAAACGTTGTAGTTAGGTGGATTCACTTCCCTTTCCCTTCCCTGACGGGTGGGGTGGGGGGTATGGGCGGGGGTACGGGGGAGTGTCCCAGGTCAGATTGCCTCCCCCTCCACCTGTCCCTCTGTGGACAAAGGGAAACAGGTCCTGTGGGGGGTCCTGGATCAGATTGCCGCCCCCCTCTCCAAGTCCTCCCTGTGGACAGGGGGGACAGGGGGTGCTGCCCCCACCTCCCCTCCCCCCGGTCCCTCCTGTGGACCCTGTGGACAAAGGGACAGGACCCGGGGGGGGGTCCCAGGTCGGACTTCCGCCCCCCAAGCTCAGTCCCCCCTGTGGACAGGGGGGCAAGGGGTAGCCCCCCCTGTAGACAAGGGGGAACTCAATGCACCCCCCCTCCCCTTCCTGGTGCCCCCTGTGGACAGGGGTGACCAAAGGTGATCCCTCCTGTGGACATGGGGAAATCCTTTGGGGGGAGGTCCCGGGTCAGATTGCCGGCCCCGTGGACAAGGGGGGACATGGTCCTCCCTGTAGATACAGGGGAAGGGTCCCGGTCCTGGGGGAGGGGGTCTCAGGTCAGATTGCCTCACACCCCCTCCCCTCGGCTCCCCCCTGTGGACAGGGGGAGACCAGGAGTGGTCCTCCCTGTAGATGGGGCAACTCAGCCCCCGTCCCCTCCCTGGTCCCCCCTGTGGACAAGGGGGGCAATGTGAGGGCACCTTCCTGTGGGCAAGGGGAACTCAAGACCCGTTCCCCTCACCACCCCTTCCCCCAATCCACCCCCAGTACGCGAGGAGGACAGGGGGGTGGTCCCCGTGAAGACTGTGGGAGCTCAAGACCCTTCCTCCCGCCTTCCCCCCTGTGGACACGGGGACAAGGGGACCACCCCCTGCGGGGGGGGGTCGCCACCGGGGGTCCCGGGGGAGATCTTGCCTTCAGGGTCGGCGGCACCAGCCGTGAGGCCTTCACGAAATACGCGTTCACCGCACACCCTGAATCCACTGAGATGACACGGCCTCAATGAAAACGTTGCCACCAACGGGCCACATTAGAAATCTATAGGGGGGCCCCATGCGCCGTGCATTGGCCCGATCCCAACAGCAGCTGCGAGTCATCCAATGCGCCTCTGACCCGAGACCTCTGCACAGTGGCACAACGGCAGGATACACTTGAGGAACTTTGGTAATTAGGGCATGCTTTGTCACCGCTTCTCCCGCGAACGAACCTCACGCGACAGAGCATGGAAACAACCTTTTTTTGATCTGCGGCCCAAAGGACGGTTCCAGAGGGCGGGTCAATCAGGCTGTCTGGGGCACAAAGCCAGATAATCTGCGAATCCAGCCGTCGCTATCGACAGCCGACCGCACCTGCAAGCATGCCGAACGGAATTCAAGGAGACGCACCTTGGCGTCGACAGGTGGGAACGGGCGCGGGAAGAGTGCGGGGGGTCGCCGAAACGGCGCCAGCCCAACACGACGGAGCAAGCAGGAGAAATGCCCGAGCATGGAAACAACCGCAACCCACCATCCTCTCAGCCCCCGCGAACACGCAAGCCAGTACCAACGATGCTGCAATATGGGCCCGAGGACTGAGCGCAGCTCCGGGCGGTATTCGAGGCAGCCGTGTGCGACCGTGGGCGCATGCTCGCACAACAGAGAGAAAGAGCAGAGCAGGGAGCCTGCGGCCACGTGCGCGTAGAGGCAATAACCTGCGGAGGTCAAGGTGAATCGCTTCCATGTTTGAAGGGGTCCAGAGACACACACACACAAATGAATACACATAAATCCCAGGATTCCCTATATGTTTCAATAGTTGTTTGATTTTTGTCGTCCCCCCCACTTCCCAAAGTTTCAGATCTTTTCTGGGGGATCGGCAACTACTTGTGTCTGTGTGTATTTTTCCCTGCTGAATGTTGCCCTCCACTACTTCGCCTCACTGATCTTCCACCTGCAGACTCTCAGAGTCCACTTCGCGTCCCTATCCTGAGCGCAGCTCCTCCCTGCAGGCCTGCCTGCCAGCCGAGGAGAGCTGCAACAGACTATGACCACACGGTCGATGACGAGAGGCGGACGGAGTGTCATCGCCGCGGGATGGGCGGAGGCAACGAAGCAACGGAAGCAGGTGCGGCCAAGAACTTTGCCATGACTCAGGGGCGAGCAGAAGGGCCAGTCTGGAGGAACCACGAGTGGCACGAACAGAACATTCTCGGCGTTCCCCTACGAATCTCTTGGATCGGCACCGGGCTCCCCTCCCTGGCGCGCGGACCGCACCGGCAGGGGTGCCCGCGCCGGTCCAAGAGCTCCGCGCGCAGCTCAGAGGAATCGTGGTTACAGAGGCCAGTCCACAAGACACCCTCCACAAGAAGCCCAACCCTGAGACCCCAGGGCGTCCCTGGATGCTCGGTGCGGGAAGACGTCGCGCTCTCCATCGCAAGACCATGGACACCCAAGAAGTCCAGGGCACCCTGAAGGCAAGCAGGGTGTTTCTTGGCATGGGCCTCCACTGTATGCCGCTGTCTGTCCTTCGAACCTAGACATGCGACGTCCTGATTGTTTCAGGACGGCGAGGGCCCCCAAGGACCGAAAATAGTGAAAAACTTGCAGTCCTGATTTTTTACGACGCTATCATATCCTTCGACTGACTCTGGGCTGAGCGTGCGGGCAAGTCGGGAAAGTGCCGCGAGAAGACGGGCGCACCAGGCAGGGACGGTGCTCCCCCGCGGCGGGCGCGCCTCCCGCGGCGGACGCGACCCTGCCCGGCCCCCCTTCGCCTGGGCACCTGCTTACAGGGGGGCCGATGGAGGAGGAGGAGGAGGAGGAGGAGGAGGAGGAGGAGGAGGAGGAGGAGGAGGAGGCAGGGGGGTGGCGAAGAGAGGGGAGGAAAAGGAGGAAGGAGGAGGGAGGAGGAGGAGGAGGAGGACGAGGAGGAGTAGGGAGGAGGAGGAGGAGGAGGATGGCAAACGCCACAGCGTCACGCCCTGGTCGGTCGAACGAAAAAAGGAGGAGGAGGAGGGGGGGGGGAGGAGGAGGTGAAGGGGGAGGAGGAGGAGGAGGAGGAGGAGGAGGAGGGAGGAGGAGGAGGAGGAGGATGAGGATGGAGGAGGAGGAGGGGGGTGAAGAGGAGGAGGAGGAGGAGGAGGAGGAGGAGGAGGAGTACGGAGGAGGATGGAGGAAGAAGGAGGAGGAGGATGGAGGAGGAGGAGGCCGGGACAATGCTCCCCGCATCTCTCCACCACCAGTCCGACGCAGGCCGCCCACACTGCGACCCCTGGCGTGGCGCGACTCGCGCCGGGGATGGCGGGCCCCCCCGCAGAGTCGACCGAGCCACAGCCGAGCAACCCATGAGCGGCACGAGGCCGAGACAGCCCTCCGGAGACAGATCGAAGCCACTCAGCGCCCCGGGGCGTTTGCGGGGGGTGGGTGGGCGCCGCGCGCGTGCGAGCATTCGGGCGTTCGGTCCTCCATGGAGGGGGAGGAAAACGAGGACCATGACCAAGATTGAACGCGGGACGTCGGTGTCGCTCTTGGTCACCGTCCATCTTGGTCAGCGTCAATTCGTGGACCATCCACACGGATCGACGACGGCCGGCATGGACCATGAGCAAGATTGGCGTCGACAAGATCCCGCGACAACGTAGTCATGGTCCCCGTGTTTCTTCCCTCCACTCCAGGGCCCTCGTCCCGAGAAGCCGACGGACCTAGGCATGAAACAAACGGCTCCTGAGGGAAGAAGGTCCTGGTCTCAGGTCGGACACGTCCCCCTACAGGCAGATTTGGAGGAAATGCAACAAATACCTAACACACATTTAAACATATGCAACAAAACAGTCAATAAATCTTCCCCTTGCTATGTTTAAACTGTTTTTGAATACACCTCCTGTAGAGGGACGCGCCCGACTTAAAGCTGGTCCCTGGGGCCTTCCCTGGACCAGTTCCGACAGTCCCGGGGTCAAGAAAGGGATCCCCGAGAGCTCGCATCAGGTCGGGCATATCCCCCTACAGGCGGATTTTGGGCGAAATTTGAAAAATAGCCCAACTACTCGAACATAGTCAAAAAATCGTCGAAAAATCGTCCCCATATTATTTTTTACTATTTCTGAATATTCCCCCTGTAGAGGGAATAGGCCCGACTCAAAGCTCGCAGACGGTGGAACACCTCAGGACCCGAGCCCCTCAGGACACGTTTTCTTCAAGGCGAGGAGCCGAACGACCTTGAGATCCGACGTGGCGCGAAATCGCGACACAGTAAAAAATCACGACCGTAGCCCCGAAGCCCATCTGTCCGCTGCATAACCAGAGCCGGATCGATCTGTGATTGCTTCAGGGCCTGGAACCGACCAAAACGACCCGTTGTGAACCACATGCAACGCCAGGATCTCAGTGGAGGCAGAAACATCACCCCCGACCTGGGCTACACGCAAGAGTGATCCTGGGCAAGAGTGACCTCTGGTGCGCGGTGTTAGGGGGGCGCGGGTGGGGCAAACCCAAGCGCGCAAGCCGCTGCTGTCGCATTGCATTCAGCGGTCGCAGGACCCCATGCCACTACGGCGAAGGGCAGGAGAGCCCAGGATCGAATCGAGAGGTCGGATCGGCGACCGAAACCAGTCGGATCGGCGGAGATCGGCAGCCAAGCCGCGAGAAGACGAATCGACGGAAATTGGCAGGCTCGAGATGCCTCCACTGGGATACCGGAAGCCAAATCGGAATCCGAAGTCGAATCGAGTCGAGACCGGGGATCGATCGAAATCGAACCGTGCCGAGTCGGGGCAATCGAAAGGAGCCCTGGAAGGGTCACTCTCCCGCAAAGCCGAGACCCTCCGAAGGCAGATCTATATGAACCGCGCGGCGCGCCCGGGGCTCCGGGGCGCACCGGCCCGGGCCAGGGCAAGCCCGGGTCCGTCGAGCTCTGCAGGGCCCGCCAAAGCCCTGCGGGATCCAGCAAGAGCCTGCGCGCGGGCCAGGGTCAACGCACCCCTGGCTCCAGGCCTCGGAACAAATTAGCGAACCCTCATGCCACATTCAGCTGTCAACGCCTCCCCCTCCCCCCCATGTTCAAAGTTGGCGGTGGGTCTGATGGGATGCAGTTCGACCGCAGTCTCCCCCGCGCGTGCCAACGTTGAGTTTGGGGGTGAGGGGGAGTGTTCAGTAATTGTTTCCCTCTACCGTCTGCAGGATCCTGCAGGAACCGCCGCTCTGGCTGACCACCGCTCGCATGAGCCCCTGCCTCTACTGGCACGGGGAGAAGCGGGCCCTGAGGGAATCGGGTCCTGGACCTTCAGGCCTGCCCCCAGGGCGAGATCTTCATCCTGAATCGTTTTCTCCCTGTCCCAGGGTCCGTGGAGGGGCCCGAGGGCCCGAAAACGGCGCAAAACCTGAGGGCCCTTCTTTTCCCTCGGGCAAGGCGAAGCCAGGGCAAGGATAGCACAGGGTGAGGATATGATGAACCGGGGATCTCTGAGATCCTGCGGCCCTGACGTCTCGGGCGCCGCGGCCTTCTCGGAGCGTTCCGGAGCGCTCTGGGAGCGTTCCAGAACGCACGCTCTGGAACGGCTTCCTCGTCGCCCTGGCCCCGTCCGATCAGGACCCGCTTCCCCCCTGGCGGCTCGAACCAGCGCCCCTCTCACGGGGACTCCGCTGACGGGCACTTTTTGGCCGGGCACCGGGCGAACGAACACCTTCCCCCGACGTGGGCAATACGCTGCAGCGCCAGCAGGAGGCCCCAAAGGTGGCAATCTTCGGCAACTTTCCAGAGTATACCCGTGAGTGAGTATCCGTTACGTTCCCAGACATGCGACGTCCTGATTTGTTCAGGACGGAAAGTCTCCCCAGGCCGTCCACCGCAGGAACAGCAAGCGAAGGCAAACGCCTGCTGCTGGGCCGGGCGCCTGGGAGCACTACTGCGCCAGACCCAGCGGACAGCCTGAAATGCTGCGCAAAGCAGCTGGGTGGGTGGGAGTGGAACAACGCGCGTTGCACGTGTGCTGCTCGCGGATACCAAACAGCAGTCAAGGCGCGGGTGAGCCCGCTGTGCCTGGCGCCCTCCTGGCGTCGACTGCCCACGACAACCATTGCACAGGAGAAGCAGAAGACAAAACAAGACCGACTGACGAGACAGACAGGACAGACAAGACGGACACACGACAGACGCGAGGACGCAGACGACACCGCGGCCCCCGACGGAGGCGCTATAGCGAATGAGAGCGGGGACGCAAGCTCCCGCAGGAGTGCAACAGAAAAACAAAGCGCCGAACAGTATGCGCGTTTGCCACGGCGCGCACCGCGCAATGCCCGCGGCGACAGCGGTGGCTTTGGCCATCTTCGTCCATTTTCCCGACCGTAAAAATAACAAAATATTTAAGGGCTGAGAACATCTCCTCAGGCATCAGGCTGTCCACCGCAGGAACAGCGGGCGAAGGCAAGCGCTTGCTGCTGGGCCGGGCGCCTGGGAACACGATTGCGCCCATCGCACCCAGAGACCAGACCAGCAGCTGCTGAGGAAGCTTTGTCGAAACCTATCGCGCCCGTTGCAGCGACAGAGCTGTTTCAGACAGCTGCCTCAAGGATCCGTTGGGGCGCGCCCAACTCCTGGCGCGCGCGCCGTTGCTCCTTTCTTCGGCGCGGCTCGAGTTTCGCATGGCCGCGCGAGCCCCCGCTCTTCGCGCGCTTGTGCGCGAGCTGTGGCGTTTCTGTACAATTCTCGAGCAATGCGCGCGCGTCTGCGCGTGGAGACAGGCCCCAGTGCGTCCAGAGCGCCCTGGTGCCTACGTGATGTGCTCCTTGCCTCGGCGCGCATGTGCGCGCGCCTGTGCGCTTCGCTTGTGACCTGAATACGCATTGTGCGACATTCTTCCTGCTTGCCTCTGCGCGACTGTGCGCGCTTCCGCGCTCCCTGCGTGGGCCACTGCGCGCGTTCCTGCGCGTGCACGCTTGCGCGCTTTGTGACTCTGCGCGCGTCTGGCCTGCCCCTGCGCGCCCAGCGCGCCGGGGTGGCGCGCCGCTGTCTGCGCGCATCGGCGCTGCTGTGCGCGCCGCCGCGCGCCTGTATGGGTCTGCGCGCTTCCGCGCGCCTGTGCGCGCCAGCTCGCCTTTGCGCGCTTCTGCGCGTCTCTTGCGCGTGTCTGCGCGCTTCTGCGCACCTCTGAGCGTGCGCGCCCTTCTGCCCCCAGACGCGTCGCGCCTGCGCGGCGCTGGGGCGAGCTTCAGCGCCGCTGTGCAAAGCGTGGGCGTGGGCGTGCTTCTGCACCTGAGCTCCTGTGCGCTCGCGCGTGCCTGCGCGATTCTGCGCGCCTCGAGGCGGGCCCGTGCCCTTCTGGGTTCGCGTGCGCGGCTCTGCGTTCGGCACCGCGCTTCTCCTATGCGCATTGTGGCGCGCATGCGCCATAATGCGCGAAATCGCGCCACTTGCGATTTTGAATCCTGGGCGCACCTCCGCCAGAGTACGCGAAATCGAGCTCCACTTGAATTTCTGAGAGCCCGCGCCAGAACGCACGCAATTGTACCAGTTGTTGCTTCAAACGCGCAAAAGCGCTCCAATCGAACGCCCGGGCCAAAATGAACAGCATCGAGCTACTAGCGCAATCTATGGCGCTTCGGAACACGCGCGGACTCGCGTTCCATTTGCATTTCTGCGCATGTCTGCGCGTGAGCGCGCTCTGACTGCCATTCTGGCCACGCTCGCATGAAAACGCGCGAATCGGCGCCCCAATGCAACCCAGGGCAATATCGCGCCCCAAATGCAATTCGGGGCGCGACGCTGATCAGCTGCCAGGCACAGGGAGCAAGAGAACGTCACAGACAGGCACCAGCACCGCCTAACAGCCTGGGCGTTGCTGACCTTCAGCCGAGACACCACTGGCACACGCCTCTGGCCAGCCAGGGCACTGGCGACCTTGCCACCCCGCCGCCGCCTGGACGGAGCCATGGCAGACTTGCGACTAGGAAGGCGCTGGCAACCAAGCGTTTGGCCTCCAGCGCTGACCTCAGGCGAAGTGGGCCGGACATGTTGGCAGCGATCCAGGGCCCCTGCACTTGGGCGGCGATGTGCGCCCGCAAACCAGTGGCGACGAGAAGTGGCGGCAGACCTGCCGCGACGGAGTCGCAGGCAGGGCGCGGCAGCCCCCGCGCACGGGTGCACGGCACCGGCAGCAAAGGCACAGGCTAGGGTTGGACCTGGCGGCAGCAAGGGGCAGAAGCAGGTGGCGACGAGGGGGGCGCCGGCAGATCGCCGGCGACGAGGGGCGCCAGCAGACCAGCGGCGACAAGGAGCGCAGTGGCGACGAGGGGCACCCACACACCTGCCACGAGGAAAGGCGCTGGCCAGCAAGGGCACGGGCCTGGGGTTTGGCTTGCGCAAGGGACCACCAGTGCAAGGCACTGGCCTGCAATGGCACGGGTCGGGGCTTGCCAGGGACCCCTGCACATTGGCAACGAAAAGCGCAGGAGCACGTGGCGACGAGGAGCACCGGCGGACGCGGCGACCAGGGACGCCAGCTTGCGACCAGGAGGCGCTGGCCAGCAAGGGCACGGGCCTTGGGTTTGGCTTGCGCCAGGGACCCACCGGTGCAAGGCACTGGCCAGCAAGGGCGCGGGCCAGGGTATGGCTTACGCCAGGGACCCCTGCACTGGCGACGACGAATGCAAGCGCCAGCCTGCGACGAGAGAGGTGCTGGCCAGCAAGGGCACGGGCCTGGGGTCTGGCAGCAAGGCCAAGGACCCAAGCTGCGCACCCAGGGGCCTTCGGCAGAGCCTATTTGGCTGCCTCGCCCTTGGCATAAGCGAGGATCACAGGCAGAGCCTAATGGTTGCCTCACCTGCGCTTTGCCGCGAACCCGCACTGCGCAGACCGCCACGTGGAAAAGAGAACCCAGGAGCGGCACTGGCCACGGGAACCCAGACGAGGAGCGGCAAACGGCCCAGACAGCAGTCAAGGCGCGAGTGAGCCCGCTGTGCCTGGCGCTCTCCTGGCGTCGACTGCCCACGACAACCATTGCCCAGGAGAAGCAGAAGACAAAACAAGACCGACTGACAAGACAGACAGGACAGACAAGACGGACACACGACAGACGCGAGGACGCAGACGACACCGCGGCCCCCGACGGAGGCGCCATAGCGAATGAGAGCGGGGACGCAAGCTCCCGCAGGAGTGCAACAGAAAAACACAGCGCCGAACAGAATGCGCATTTGCCACGGCGCGCACCGCGCAAAGCCCGAGGCGACAGCGGTAGCCTGTTGGCCATCTTCGTCCATTTTCCCGCCCAGAAAATAACAAGTGATTTAAGGGCTGAGCGTCCCCGGAAGTCCCGACCCTTTCCCTGGGACCGGTCTTCCGTTCGGAGCCGTCTTTTGACGGTCCCGGGGCCCGGCGAGGGCCCCCAAGGGCCGAGAGTGGTGAAAAGCTTGCCGTCCCGATTTTGTTTTACGACGCGATCATGTCTGGGGCTGATCTGACCGCTCCAGGGTTGTGGATGCCATGACAATGGACACTCTCACAACCCTACCATTGAATCAAACATGTGTGTAAAATGTGTAAACGCAAGTTCTAAGCGTGTTTCAAACCTGCTTGTACATAGTTAATGCATGCTTGACACATGTCTTAGACATCTGGAAATTACTTGGCAGCATGCTTCCTCTCCATCAATCGATCAATCCTTTCCATCAATCCATCATCCTCTCCTCCATAATCGTTGATTCCTCGGGTAAGGGAAACAACAAGTATACACCACACCACCCCCACGTCGTCCCCGACCCTCGAAAAGTCCTTAGATGGAAAAGCAGCTCGCCACTGGTACCGTATATGTTCCAGTTTCCGATCAATGAGGTCGCTTCAGGGGTCGAAGGCAAATCCATGATGGCGCACTGCTGAAAAGATGCGGTCAGGAACTTGTGCCCAGCCTGCCGCGGCGAGGGTCCGGCGACACGCTGTGCCCTGCAAGCGGATAGCGTGTCGCTCCGCTCCGTGGGGCGGGTGGCCGGGAGCAGGGACCGACCGTCCCGGCATTCCTACAGTCCTACCACGGAACTCGCCATCGCTTGGACGTCCATTCCCTGTGTTTTTTTTCGGTTTCGTGCGTGGTTGTTTCGCCAAATTGTCAAGGATGCTCCTCAATGGTCCTCGCCGAGGAAAAGACGCACACGTCCGAGCGATGCCAAGGAAATCGCAAACTGGAACATCGACATTACCAGTGGCGGGGCGGGGCGTCCGCGCGGGGCGCGCCGTGCGGGCGGGCCTTCGGCCTCGGCGCCCTCGGTGGCCTCCCGGGCGCCCGCCAGCAAGCGCGCGGTGCGCAGCGTGCCGGCCGCGCTGGGGCTCTGCTGTCCTGGCTCGGCGGCGAGCCGGGGCGTCCCGCGGCCGCCGCCCCCAAGAAGCCTCCTCCTCCTCCTTCTGCTGCTCCTCCTCCTGCTGCTGCTCCTCCTCCTTCTCCTCCTCCTCCTCCTCCTCCTCCTCCTCCTCCATCCTCCTCCTCCTCCTCCTCCTCCTCCTCCTCCTCCTCCTCCTCCTCCTCCTCCCTCCTCCTCCTCCTCCTCCTCCCTCCTCATCCTCGTCCTCCTCCTCCTCCTCCTCCTCCTCCTCGTCCTCCTCCTCCTCCTCCTCATCCTCTTCATCCTCTTCATCCTCCTTGTGTTCCTCCTCCTCCTCCTCCTCGTCCTCTCCTCTCCTCGTCCTCCTCCTCCTCCCTCCTGCTCCTGCTCCTCCTCCCCTCCTCCTCCTCCTCCTCCTCCTCCTCCTCCCACTACGACGACGGCAACGTTGCGGAGAGCGCGAGGCCGACGCGCACTTCCGCCGCGCGCTTCCGCCGCGCCCGAGGCAGAAGCGCGGCGGCAGGGCTGCGCCCGCCGCCGCCCTACAGTGGAGGCGAGTCCACAAGAAACCTTCCACAATAAAAACTGTTTGCCATGGCACAGGGGTGAGCACGAGGGCCCCTCTAGAGGAGCCAAAATGAGAAATAGCCGACAAGCATTCATGATTTAAAAGGAAAATCCTGCCGGACCGCGCCTTGAGCAACGCTAGTGGTCGGCGCCCCCGCGCCACCGTTGGGCACGTGGGACAAGAGGCGCCGCCAGGCTGGCCCAATCAGGAAATTCTCCAATGGCCCCTGGCAGGGACGCCGACGCAAACCCGCGCGCAGCGCGACAGGGAGGACGAGGGCGGGCAACGCGAGGCAAGCGCGAGCCGCCTCAACCCCGCACACGTGGCAACGAGAGCACCGGCAGCACGCAGAGTGGCGACGAGGGCACCGCCGACACCCAGCTGCAACTGCCGACCCACGCAGCGGCCGGCGCCGAGGCGTGTGAGCGGTGGCCGGCGCTGTGGCGAGAGGAGCGCAGCACCTGCCGCAGGAGCTACCCGAGCACGCGGGCCAGCCCCGCGGGCCAGCAGGCCTGCCAACCAAGCAGCCAACCAACCGCCAACACAGAAGCGGAGGACAGAGCGGATGGAGGCAGGGCGTGGCATCCCCACGCCGAATCCGCCCGCCGGCGGCCACCGACTGCGAGAGGGGTCCGCCGCGCCGTCGAGGCACTGCCAAGCAGTGAGAGCACCAGCGAAGGCTGCAGAAGCCCCGAGGGGAAGAGGCCACCCAGGGGCCCGCTCCCAGGATGTTCCTGCCCCTCGAGTCGCTACGAGATTCCGGAGCGATGAAAATCGTCCCCAGACTATCTTTGGTCTATCTTGACTGTTCTTCCTGCAGAGGGACAGGCCCGACTCACCACAAGTGGCATGCACACAGCGTTCTCGGAGCTCCGCGCGAACTTTCTTCTCGGATCGGCACCGGGCTCCCCTCCCTGGCGCGCGGGCCGCGCCGGCAGGGGGGCCGCGCGCCGGTCTGCGAGATCCGCGCGCAGCTCAGAGAGATCGCGTTTGCAGCGGCGGCCTGTCCACGAAGAGCCCTCCGCAAGAAGCCCAACCCTGAGACCCCCAGGGCGTCCGTGGCTTCGTGGTGTGGGGGGCACGCCGCGCCCTCCACAGCAAGAGCGTGGACGCCCAAGAAAACCGCGGCACCCTGGAGGCAAGGAGGGCGTTTCTTGGCATGGGCCCCCGCTGTACCCAAGAGATTCGAGGAAATGCTGTGTTTTCAGTCCGGTGGTTTCTGCTGGATTTCGGCCTCTGGGGGCCCATTATCGGGCACGGGAACGATATCAAGAAGGGATCCAGGACGGAAAACCATCCCCGCGAAAGGGGTCGGGACCTCGGCCTCCTCCGCTTCCTCCTCCTCCTCCCCTGCTCCTCCTCCTCCTCCTCCTCCTCCTCCCTTCTTTCCCCCTCCTCCCTCCTCATCCCTCCTCCGCCCTCCTCCACCCTCCTCCTCCTCCTCCTCCTCCTCCTCCTCCTCCTCCTCCCTCCTCCTCCCTCCTCCCTCCTTCTCCTCCCTCCTCCGCCGTCCGCCTCCCTCCTCCTCCCTCCTCCTCCTCCTCCTCCTCCTCCTCCTCCTCCTTTTTTTCTTCTTCTTCTTCTTCTTCTCCGTCTCCTCCTCCTCCTCCTGAGTTACCAAATTCAGCATGTCGCATCCAGGGCAGTTTGAGGCGACCCCGTCGCCACATATAGTGGTTTGCGGCAACACGTGCCTCGACAGCATCCGCCCGAGACCGACCCGCAGAGCCTGGCCGGTTCTTCGGGCTGCGCCCGTGGAGGCGAGAGTGGGGGCCTCCCGGAGACCCCGCCCGCAGCCAAGCAAGACTCCCAGCCAAGCAGAGCTGCGCTCCTTCCCCGAGGAGCGGCTCTTCGTCCCGATTCTTTCTGCGGACAGGCCCCGGGGCCCCGCGGGGGCCTCCAGGAGCTGAAAGCTGCCAGAGACCTGCGTCGCGACCTTTCCACGGCGAGAGGGGGGCCGGGGAGGAAGCAACCACTGTGCACTCCCGGACAGTCCCCTGTGGTGCGTTCCGACGAGACCTTCCGCGCGGATCCAGCCGTGGCGACGAGAGGTCTCCCAGAGGAACAGGCATGGGGCCAAGAGAACCCCCAATCAGCTATACCTGTGACATCGTCATCGTCGTCGTCGTCGCGAGCCTCGAACGCAAGCCTCCGACGTCATGATTGTTTCACGACCTGCCGCCGCGCCGCTTGTTCTGAGCGCGCCCAAGTGGGCGGACGCCGATATCCACGGCAAACCCACGGCAAACCCTGCGCCCCGCGTCCCAAGCAGACGACGCCGGCACCGCGGCAAACCCACGGCGAACCCACCGCGTCCGAGGCGGCGTTTGCCCCGGTGCTCGCGGCGCCCTCCCCAAGACGTAAGGACGACCGTCGGAACAAACGGCGCGGCGACAAATAAGCTATGTATACATACATATATATATGTATATATATATATATATGTGAACTTTTGACCCTCGAAGACAAGCCTCTCACGTCATGATTGTTTCGCGACATGGTCCGCAGAATTCTGGGCCCTTCTAGCATGGGGGAAACGAGTCCTGAGAGAAACGGGTCCTGGACCCTGGTGCCTTCCCCCAGTTTTTCATCCTGATGCGTTTTCGAACGGCTACGGGGCCCGTGGAGGGCACCGAGAGCCCGAAAACAACAAACAACTCAAGACGCGCTTCCCTCGGGACCCGCTCTCCCACGGCGAGCTCTCCCCAAGGACCAGCCTTCAATCCCGGGCAAGGCGACAGCGGCCCCACAGAGCCAGAGACAGGTATAGAAGACTTTCCGACGTGGTTCCTTCATGGCCCGAGGGGGACATCATGCTGCTTCGCAGGAGCTTGATACCAATGGAAGGGAGCTTAATTGGATCCGTCCTTGGATCAGTCTTGGGTGCCGACGTACAGGCAACCCGCATAACAAGGGCGCACGGTCAGGATGCAAGGGCCATGGAAGGCCATGTCGACGCTTTGTGGGCGGGGCGCGGCCAGCGGAAGCTGCCAATGATGGGCCGAAAGGGAAGGATGCAAGGATGAGCTTGGAGAAATGCTCATCCTTTCTATGCGTATTGACTGTGCTCTGCATGGAGTTGATGCCACTGAAAAGGGAACTTCATTGGATCCGTAATTTGATCAATTATGTCTTTTGCACTGACGTAGATCCTGTGATGCATCTTTTTGATTGTGGGGCAGCTTACGAGGCCAACACACTCCCACCCCGTCGATCCTCGAATCTCGAATCCCGAAGCCGTCAGAAAGGCCCCCCGACGACGGCAACGACGACGACCACGACGAGTCGAACCTCGAACCTGGGAGCCTCCAGACCCACGATGAGTCGAGCCTCGACCTTCGCAGCCCTGAGGGAGGCCCTCGAACCTCGAAGGATCGAAGGATCGACGCAGCGAGGGATCCGAGGATCCAGGGCTCGGGCCCTCCCCCGATCCCCGGACCCTTCGAGGTCCGGGGCCTCCCTCCTCCGATCCTTGAGACGAGGCCCTCGGGGGGGGGGGCGGGGGCGGCGCGGGACGAGCCTCGCAGCCCCTCTGTGGGGGGCGGGGGCGGCGCGGGGGGCCTTGCCGTCGCTCGGACGTCCATTCCCTGTGTTTTGTTTTCCAGTTTCGTGTGTGGCCTCTTTCGCCAAATGAGCAAGGATGTTCCTCGATGGTCCTCGCCGAAAGAAAAAAGTGCACACGTCCGAGCGATGCCAAGCGAGGGGCGCGGGCGGCGGCCCCCGTCCCGCGCCCAGGTGCGCCCACTGCGCCCACAGCCCGCGCGCCGCCGCGCCGAGCTCGCCGCCGCCCGCGCCGCCGAAGCCCCTCCTGGAAGGCCGCCCTCGCCGTCGTGAGCCGCGGCGGCTCGCGAGGGCGACGACGGCGGCGCCGGCGCCGCCGAGGGCGGCGACGAGGACGCCGCCGACGCCGCCGACGGCGAAGGCGACGAGGGCGACGGCGACGGGCGGCGGCTGCGGCGGCGAAGACGACGACGACGCCGTCCGACGTCGGCGACGACGACGGCAACGACGGCAACCACGACCACGACGACGGCGACGACGATGACGACGGCGGCAACGACCGCAGCGGCGGCGACGCTGCCGCCGCCACCCTCGTCGTCGTCTACGTCGTCGTCATTTTCGTGCTCCTCGTCGCGAGTCGCCGTCGCTGCAGACGCCGTCGTCGTCGTGGTGGCCGCGGTCGTCGCCATCGTCATCCCCGTCGTGAGTCAGCGTCGCCTTCGGCGGACAAAAAAAAATATAGGCTTCTAGACGCTTCTGGCCCGCCTCTAGGGCGCCCGCCTCGAAGTCTGGGTCAGAATGCGCTCCATTTTGTTTGAAGGGGTTCGTCGTCGTTGTCGCCGTCGTCGCCCTCGCCGCCGGTGTCGCCGCCTACGTCATCGTCCTCGTCGTTGCCCTTGCACTCGTTCTCGCCCTTGTCGTCGTGAGTCTCGTGCGTCGCCGCCCCCCGCCGCCGTCAACCTCCTCTCGTGCCGAGAAGATGCGTCACGCGTCCGCTGGGGCCGCAACGGGAACTCCCAGCGGGTCACGACCCGTGCAACGGGTGTGCTTAAACGAGCTGTGGCGGCGCTGTGCATGCGTACGCGTTGGGGCCTCAGATGGGGCTTCCTCCGGGCATGACTGATGGGAGAGGGACGCTCCGAGGCAGAAAGGTCGGCAGCAGCCACGGCAGAGAAGCAGCAGTACGCAGCAGCGTGCAGCAGCATGCATCAGACAGCGTGGCAGCAGCAGCAGCAGGAAGGAGTGGGGCAGATGGAAGTGAATGAAGTGGGAGACGCGCGGCGCTGAGAAAAGAAGAAGTTGGCCTAGGCACACACGATGGTTTGGAACAAAATCAAGACCAGAAAGCAACACTAAACGGTCAGGCGTCCGATAGTGATCCCGTGATGTGCTGCAAAAACAAACATACAATTGCTGCCGTGGTGTCCAGTCTCGTTGTGATGTGTGGTGCCCATCAAGATAGAGCTTCTGCCATAACGTAAGGCCCAAATTCGAAATTAGCTAAACGATGCAACTAAATCAACATGGCTAACCCCATGCCCACGATAATAATGTACCCCCCCTTAAGTAGTTAGAGTTTTTTTTATATCGTCGGCCAATAAGAGTTTGGTCGGGGGCGCGGGGGCGCGGAGGCCGAACTTCATTATCACGGGAAAAGTTTGCCATCGAGGTTACTCCCTTCTCATGTTGAGATAACAACATCAAGCGAAGCGAACACGTGTGCTCTCTCTCTCTCTTTTTCTTTGTGTTGCTTTCTGTTTCTCTCTCTCTCTGTCTCTCTCTCTCTCTGCCTTTCTTTCTCCTCCTCCCTCTGGCGCCCTGAACTTGTTTATCGCTGGGGTTGATTATCCTGGGAAAACTAAGCACATGAGCTACCCTACACGAGCAGATGAAACTTTGAATTTTCATTAAGCGTTTACACATTGAATCTAATACGTTTTCAACTTTGGATGTTTGCTTCTACCTCCTGCTCTGCTTCTCCTGCTCTTCCTCCTTCTCATCCTTCTCCTCTTCCCTTTCTTCTTTCTTTATATTTCTCTTTCTATGTCTTATTATTCTTGTCTCCCTGGCCCCCTGAACTTGTTTATCGCTGGGGTTGATTATCCTGGGAAAACTAAGCGCGTGAGCTACCCCTACACAAACAGATGAAAATTTCAATTTTCATTAAGCGCTTATAACTTAAATCTACTAAGTTTTGAACTTTGGATGATTGCTTCCTCGTTCTTCTCTCCTCCTCTTGCTCTTTCTCCTCCTTCTCATCCTCTTCCTCCTCTTCCTCCTCTACCTCCCCTTCCTCTTCTTCTCTTTTTGATGAAGATGATGTCTCAAGCGAAACAAGCAATTCGTTGAGGATGTCTCAACCGAGACAAATCATTGTTGAGGATGTCTCATAGAGGACCAAAGACCAAGGATCCTCAAGATATCTTTGGCTTTTTCCTCTTGGTATCTCTGTATGCTGGCTCTGGCGGGCAACTTTTATTATCCCCCCGAAAACCCGAACTTTATTATCCCTTAGGGTTTATTATCTGCAGCATTGGGTTAGTTAACCCAATACACAGCGCAATCGGTTTCAGCTAAAATGTAACATGTGTGCTAATCTGGGCCTCACACGTTGAGCTTGTGATGGACTGTGAATGTGCAAGCTACGTGGGAAACAATGTGGCGGAAACGGTGTGGCGAAAACAAGGTTGCACATTCAACGTGGTGCAAGCTACGTGTTGGAAACAGTGTGGTGCGAGCTACCCGGAAGAAACAAGGAAGTGCAATGTGTGGGGGGGAATATGCGGTGCAAACAACGTGATGCAAACCATGTGGCGTCGCACGAAACGGCGACGCGATAACAACGAGGCGGCCAAAACGCGGCGACCAGGCGGAAACCCGGGATCGCCAGCCATCGCACGAGGCGGCGACGAAGCCGCGACGAAGCGGCGAGGAAGCGGCCACCCATCGTCGGCGACCAGGCGCAAACCCAGAACCGCCATCCATCAATACTGAGAAACCAAGTAGGACCCCCTCGATGCAAGCACTGACTGGGGAGTAAAGCCAACGGAGACAGTCGAACCAAGAACAGAAGAACACCCTGCAAGAACACGAGACCCTCCGCCGGCCAAAACACCCCCAAATTAGGGCGCAAGCGAACCTACCTCGCTTTTGACCGCGCTCGCTTCCAAGGGCTACCAAGCGACGCCAGACTACGGCCTGCGCTGGTCATGTTGGGGGGCGGAAAGATACGGATACGTGTTGTCCCCGGACCTCTCTTGGGGTGCGTTCTGACCAGAATTTCGGGGCGAATCCAGCGGTGACAACGAGGATCCCCCAGGAGGACCAGGAAAGGCCGAAAACGAAGGGGGACGACACGTGTCCGTATCTTTTTCTCCACGGGGTACCGAACTCGGTGACCATGAGATCTGCAAGCACACGACCACCGACGGCACCCTCGCGCTGCGTCGCGCGACCTCCGCCGCCTGGCCTGATCGGGGGAGCCGTGGGGGGGGGGGGCGCGCCCACCTCCGCCCTTGAGGAAGGGGGAAGGGGCCCCAGGACACACACAGATAAACACACACACACACACGCACACACACACACAAAAAAAAATAACATGATTCCCCATATTTTCCTATATATATATATATATATATTCGTGGGGTTTTCGTCTTCCACCCCCCCCCACTTCCCATATTTTCCCATACTTTCGGGGGGATCGACGATTCATCGTGTCGGTGTTTTTTTTTCCCCCCTTCCTGACTTGAGGCCTGTGGCCGCTCTCAAGCCCTCGGGCGCGCAGCCTGGCCGCCCGCAGCCCTGCCTACCCCCCCCGCAGCCCCGAGCCGTGCGAGGGGTCGGGGCGCGGCCGCGAGAGCCCCGTGGCCTCGTCGGCCCTCGCGGCGGGCCGAGAAGCAGGCGGAGGGCCCTCGCCCGAGGGGCATGCGGAGGTCGGGGAGGAGGAGGAGGAGGAGGAGGAGGAGGAGGAGAAGGAGGAGGAGGAAAAGGAGGAGGAGGAGGAGGAGGAGGAGGAGAGGAGGGGGATGAGGGGGAGAGGAGGTCGAGGAGGCGGAGGAGGAGGAGGCGGAGGAGGAGGAGGGACCCCGTTGGCCTCGGCGCTGCGGCCCAAAGCTCGCCCGCACAGCCTGCCTCGACCGTTGCCCCGGCCCGGGAGGCCGCGCGGCGCGGCCTCCTCCGCCTGCCCTGGCCCCGACCCTGCAGCCGCGCAGCCGAGGCCGCGCAAGCGGAAGCCCGCCAACCCCAACCACTCCCCCTTGCCGTCGCTCGGACGTCCATTCCTTGTGCGTTTTTCGGTTTCGTGCGTGGCTTCTTCGCCAAATGATCAAGGATGCTCCTCGATTGTCCTCGCCGAAAGAAAAATGCACACGTCCGAGCGATGCCAGGCTCCCCCCCAAGGAGCATGCGAGGGCGACTGCCGTCGCATCGCCACCATCCACGAGCTGCGCCGCTGCTGCAGGCCGCACCCCGGCATCGGAAGCGAAGCACGCGGAATGGGCCCCCGCCCGGGCCGCGGACGCACGAGCATCGCGGCCGACCGCACGGGCCCACGCCGATCTCCCCCCCAAAAGAACATACGAGAGTGATCACCTCCGCGCCGCCATCATCCACGAGAGCGCGAGTGCCCAAAGACGCACCTCGACATTGGAACCAAAGCACGCGGAAGGGCCCCCGTCCGACTCCGCGGACGCACGTTGCGGAATCATGACCCCCGAACCCCAGCCTCACCAAAACGAGCGAACAAAAGCGCGAAACTGAAAAACGTTAGAGGTAACACTCCACCAGGATGCACAAGAACATCCAACAAGCACACTGAACATGAGGGTACCCTCCCCAAACCGACCTCGATCTTATACCTTGGCCCAGCTGAGTCCAACGAATGCGCGCGCGAATAGCAGAACATAATGAGCCACACGTCTGATTCATCACCCCAAGCATTCATCTCGGCGAGCGGCGGACATAGGAATTTAATGTACTCCCCAAGCGTGGCTTGTACTGAAAAGATCGACCTGCAGTCTTCAGACTTTGTTCCGAATGTTAGGCTTCACGCTTGTCCATCGGATCCTGGCGGTGGAAACATGGCCTGCAAACTTGGCTCGGCACTGACGGCTCCCGGCCATCAGTAACTGGTTATGATGTCCTGGTAGGCGTGCGCATATATCCCGAAATATGAATGCGGTTAGAGGGAGATGCACAGAGACAGAGAGAGAGAGAGAGACAGAGAGAGTGAGAGAGAGAGAGAGAACAACAAATCTGGGGGAGGAAAACATTGAAAGACAAAGGAAGATATACACATATATATGTGTA